CATGTTGGTCGGAGTTCCTCCACCAATTCAATCTCATCATCCGTTTCTGTCCCAGAAAACTTGGAGCAAAACCAGATTCCCTCACTAGACGCTGGGACAGTCTACCCCAAAGAGGGGGATAAGGACTACTGCTCAAGTTAACCCTCATAACTTCCATCTGGTGTTCATGTCGAACAGTTAGCTTTGTCCCTACGAGCATCAACCCTAGCATATCTGGTGCTCTGAGCAGCTGTACTCATGGATGTTGACCAACTCTGAAATGATATCCTATCCTGCTCTCCCTAACGACCCTATTGCATCCACTTAGATGTCCTGGTCCTCTGGATCCCAGATGGACCATGGATGATAGTGGTTTCCTCCATTGCGACAATCATATATATGTCCCTGATTCCAATGACCTCCGATTTCAATCCTCTGGAACACCCATGACCATCCCCTGTCTGGACACTTTGGCCAGAACTGGATGCTAGAACTCATCCAACACAAATATACCTGGCCCAGAATACGCACCTATGTCAAGGACTATGTTAAATCGTGCACCACCTGCACCCGAGCCAAGGTTCCGAGACATAAGCCATACGGATTGCTCAAGCAACTCCCTGTTCCGGAAAAGCTTGGAACTCCATCTCCATGGATTTCATTGAGCAACTTCTGGACTCCTCTGGCTTCACAGCCATCCTTGTCATCATAGATCATCTATCCAAGCAAGCAATATTCATTCTGACCCATGACACTATCACCTCTCCAGACCTTGCTCGCTTGTTCCTACTCCATGTGTTCTCCAAGCATGGTGTTCCATCCCATGTAACCTCAGACCAGGGAACAGAGTTTGTGTCCCACTTCTTCTGGTCCTTAGGAAAAGCATTGGATATGATCCTCCACTTCACATCTGGATATTATCTGGAAGGGGACGGACAAACTGAGCATGCCAACCAAACCCTAGAATAATACCTCTGGATCTACTGTAACTATCAGCAGGATAACTGGTTGGAACTACTCCCCTTGGCTGAATTTGCATACAACAACACTCCAAGTGCTACCACTGGAGTCTTGCCCTTCTTCGCCAACAAGGGATACCATCCAAACATATCCATCCACCTGGAACGTGACCTTTCCTCTATCCACGCACAGGAATATGCCATAGACCTCAATGAGCTTCACCAATTCCTCCTGAGAAGAAATGACCCACACACAAGAATGTTATCAAGGACCTGTGGATGCAAGGCGGATACCAGCCCCAGACTTCAAGGTTGGGGATCAAGTCTTCGTCAAAGCAAAGTACTTCCATTCCACTTGCCCTTCCAAGAAGCTCTCAGAAAAGAACTTAGGTCCTTTTGACATTATATCCCGTCCCAGATCGCATTCCTTCACCATCCTAACTCCTGGATTCCATGCATTCAGTACATCCAGTCTTCCATGTCTCCCAACTAGAACCCGCAGTTCCAAACACCATCCCTAATCGTATCCAACCACCCCCACCTCCAATAGAAGTTGACAGAGAACCAGAATATGAGATATCCAAAATCCTAGACTCTAAGTTGGACCGCCAGAGACAACAATGTCAGCTTCTCTACCTCATCCAGTGGTCTGGATATGAAGGGACGGACGAAGAGATGTCCTGGTTACTAGCCATGGAGCTTGGAAATGCATCAGATCTAGTTTCGGTATTTCACTCTTCATATCCAGACAAACCCAGTGTGACAATCATATTCCCGCTAGGCTTGCAATGGCCATCTTTGATATAGGTGATGGAAAGCTACAAAACCATCGACCGCTTTTCCCGCACTCAACCTGCTCCAGATGCGTATTCCCGCACATTCACTCCTGTGCTGCGCGCATAACTGCGGTCGATTTCCCATGCCTTCGGACTACCTTACAGATGTCCTGCGTCAGTCCATTGTCCATCCTACCTCATTGGTATGTATTTTGCCTTGCCTTGTGTATTGTAACAAGTGTTGCAGCCTTATTACATGTCTTTACATATTCCTACTGCCTGTCTGTCCTGTCCCTTCCATTTCCAAGAGGGTTTAGCTAGTATAAAGTGCCTAGAGTGACTACTTCGTATTTACTTCCCTTCTATGATATTTCCTTCCCATAGGTTTTACTTAGGAGCAGTCACCATTAGTGCATGCTTTTAGCCCCTATTGGTTACTTTATACCTGGACACCTTGTCTTGACTTTCCTTACCCATGCAATCAATACCCTTGCCCTCACTTGTTACCTGCGCCATTCCTTAAGACTTCCCTACCCCTTACCCTAACATCTCGCACTTCCACATTCCTGCACTCCACATACCTGCGCACTTGTTCCTGTGCTCTGCACACTTTCGGGTCTTTAGTATCATCAGCCGTTCTCAGTAGCAATTCCCTTTAGGGTCGAACATTCTTGCTTGCAAGTGTAGCAGCTAGGCAGAGCATCGACCTACAACAATATTTTTGGTTAGGCACCTTAACAAGTGTCTAGCCATTGTTGTGTTTGCACACTAGTCCAATTGCGTTACAATGAGTACAAAATCAGATACAAGTACATTAGGGGCAGAAGTAGGAAATCCAGAGCTCCTCACCCATCAGTCTCCATGTCCCCTCCAGATCCTCCAGCCTCCTCCTCAACATCCTTGTCAGCATCATCAGGAGTGGAGGCATCCTGCAATCCGGAATCCATTCCAGATCCCCTCCAGGAGGATAGACTGGAAGTCCCTCTGCTGCTGGATGAAGTCCTCCATGTTAGTATTCATCTGCTCCATCACCAACCTACTCCCTTCTGCAGCTCCAATACTCTCCTGGAGAAGCCCATTGGTCTAGGCCAGTTCCGCTACTATGCTGTTGGCAGCAGCAACCCAGGCCTAGTCATCATACTCCACACTCCCCTCATCCATCTCTATTCCAGTCCATGGATTGGAAGCTTCCTCCACTTCTGGTTCCTCAGAGGTAGGGCTCCTCTGACGTCTCTTACCCTTGGATTTCAGAGACGGAGTCACCACAGTGTGCTGCCTCTTCTGCCTTGGTTCCCTGGGCTTGTCTGCACTTCCAGGACAGGAGACCCTATTGATCCTGCAGACGTTGCAAGACTTGATCTATCTGGATATCAGTACACCCAGTTCCGGACATCCAAGGCAAGGAATATCTCACCAGCACATTAGACTTGGCATCCTCCCAGGAGCATGTCTTCTTCTTACTGACACAACGAGTGCAGGGAGCATCCTGAGCTCCGGACATAGAAGCGGACTGGGACTAGCATACCCCTCAGTTCTGGATCTGATAGAGTTAGCATCACTCACCCTCCTGGCCACCTCAGCTCTCCACCTCTCCTCTTCCTGCGCTACCCAGAGCTTGGACTGCTCAATCCACTTCCTCTCCTCCTCACGTTTCCGTTCTGCTTCCTGACACATCCACTCTGCTTCCTGACATTTCTGCTCCTCTTCCTCTTCCTCTCTCTGAGCTGCAGCCTCTGCGAGTGCCATCTGGTGCTGAAGTTTTGCAAGGGTCTCCCTAGCAGATTTCTGACCACTGGATTTGTTGCCAGATATGATATTCAAAGCTAGTATGAGTGGGTAAAAGTGAGGAAAGGAAGGAAGACCTAGGACACTTTGACATCCATATATCTGTGGAAACCAGAACTCACAAACTCCATCCATCAGCTTCTCCATCAATTCTTGCCCTCATATCGTCTGGTCCGGATCATCAGATCTTGTGCCTCTAGGGATTGGCCCTAAAGGGGGGATACTGTCATATCCGCATATCCGGATCTCAGATCTGACCCTTATCTCATCTCAGATCCACATCTTATCTCCAATCCTATCTGCATCTTATCTCCCTCCAACATCTCAGTCATTCAACCTGTCTGCTCGTCCGGTCCAGGTCCACAACTCATCCAAATCCACAACCAGTGCTCGTCTCCTTTTGGTAACCCCCTAACTTCGGTATTTTGGTTATCTGTATATCCATCCTACTCCCTTATCTGCTACCTATGTTTCATTTCTGTTTCATGATTTGTGATCCATTTCTACTTACCAATAGACTATCCACATGCTTCATACATAGCCTTAGACTCTGCTGATTGATCATTCCATTAGATACCTATAGTATATAACCTCCTGTAACTTTCTGTAGTACCTCAGTTCAAATATCATCTTAGTTCTACTCATTCCTGTCCTCTGGACTTGAGTAACTCTACTCTCGTCACCCTCCAAGACTTAGGATTGATTCCTATAGTCTATCCATATCCGCCTCTGTCTCCGACAGTCCATTACCATTAGTTTCTAGTCTGGACTTGTCCGGATTAGCCCTATGATACTTATCCCTCATCTGGAAGTCATCCGGATCTGTTATGCTACTTGTCTGACCTTCCGGATGTGTTAGCCTTGCCTTCCTGAAATAAGGGGCAATACTTGGGTAAGGGGCACAGCGCATGAGCTGAGGCTGAAGCCCTTCAGATCCAGTTATCTTTTGAGTATGACCTTAACAACATGTTGAGCATGCATTTGCTGCTCTTAAGGGGCGGTTTCAATCCCTCCGAGAGCTTCACCTCAATATTCACACCAAACAAGAGCTTCAGATTGCTGTCCATTGGATTATGTGTTGCATCATCTTGCACAACATGATCATCTGATTTGAAGCTCACCACCATGAGCAGAATCCAAAATTCTGCCATTCTCAGAGGTGGGCTGAGTGGGAGGCCAGAGAATTTGCAGCTAGAGAGATTGAGGATCCCGATGGTGATGAAGTTGTGGGTGACAGGTCATATGAGGGTACTCCAGGGCAAGCTTCTCATTTGAGGATGATGGATCAACTGTTTGACAGTCCTCACTCAAGAGCTGAACATAGGGAAGGGTAACTTGAAAGAACCAGGGTCACATTGGCAACCAGAAGGTACATGTACTACTACAAGAGATTCAACAAATGTATGTAAAATGTATGTATCAAAATCAAGTAGCAAACTAACTACAACATGCTACAATTTTCATGACAACAAGGACAAAAAAACAAGACAACAACACATACTCAAACTGATGGTGATGAGGTCAAGGGACTAGCATGGATCATGGTCTCATATTGGATCTTCAGGCACCAGGTCTCAGCCTCCTTTTCCTGCAAGGCAGCTGCAGCCTGAAGGTGCAGAATCTCCTTGGCCTTGGCCTCCTGCTCGCATTGATGCATGGTGGCTGAAAAGAGGACATCGTGCGAATGAGACTCACAGCACTACTGAAATTCCTTCTTCTGAGATTGATAATTCATCTTGATGGCATAACACTTGTTTCTCGATCCCTGGTGCTCAGACATGTCACTCTGCATGCTCCGAATTTCATCGTTAAGCATGCTGAGGTGGCCCTCAATGTCTGTTGCCAAAGTCCTCTTCTTTTTCGAGCTGGCTAAGCTCTGTGGCTTTGCAGACAGTGATGTCTGAGATGCCATTGGCAAAATCTGATAGTCAGTCAATAGATAGGATGAGGATGCTGTGGATGAGGGAGTGGAGCAGCTGCAGGATATCCCCGACGATGAAGTGAACGATGGAGGTCTACATGGCACTTGGCTGCCAGGTGAGGCAGAGCCAAACGCCACGTGACTATGGTATGCCAGTGTCTGGGGCTTCCATGGGAGAACAAAGGCATTAGTTTGGACAGGAGGGGGAGAAGGAGAGGCTGCATATTGCCATTTGTGTCCCACCACTTTGGGGGGACTGCTGACGACATGACGCCGGGAGGAGTTGTACTCCACCCCGTTGTTGTTGTTGTCATCATTGTACATGTTGACATCTCCATCTAACACATCCAGTGCATTCCCAAGGGGAGCAGAGAGAGGGCCATTGTCATTGGTGTAAGGGTCATCATAGAGGTTATTATTTGGGTCATCAACTGGACTGCCCTAGTGCTGGTGAAATGAGGAGGGGGGTGATGTGAAGGGGGAAGGTAAGCTGGGGGACTGCACTGAGCACCAGTGTCAAGTTGGTTCAGCGGAGGGAGCTGAGGGTTTGGGGGAGGGAGCTGAGGGGTTGGTTGAAGGTTAGGAGGTGAGGGTTCAGTTGAAGGAGGTGAGGGTCCGGTTGAAGGAGTCGAGGGTCCAGCTGAAGAAGTCAAGGGTCTGGTTGAAGGAGTTGAGGGCCAGGAGGCTCTGTGTTTGTGGAGGGACCAGCCCCCCCACATGGACAAATAAGTGCGTAGAAGTCCCCAGCATGGTCGACTCCCAGCTGGGAGGTAAAGATTTTGGCACCACATGTTGGGTTAGAAAAAAGGATAGGGTGGAGTTGGTCATACCATAGGAACTCGAGTAGTACTTGTTCTTAAAATAAAATAAGAAACAATGGTGAAAAAACAAACACTTACTGTGTAGATTAGCTGCCACATTTTCGTCAAGGGGGGTGACGCCAACACTGGTCTTGTTGAATTTGTTGAGTTGCTCCTTGAATGACTTCTTAAGACTTTGAAGAATTAAATTAGTGTTATGAACTAGGATAGTCGTAACAACAGCAGCTCAATAAAAGCAACAGCTGAAGTTATAGTCAAGACCTTGCAAATGCAAGGGTCGTAAGACAAGACAAAGAGAGTGTCTCCAGCTTGAATATTGGTTCAGACGACTTAGGATTGGAAGTCCTAAGTGAGAGAAGATCCAGGTGAAAACCTAGTAAGATTAAAGTAAAGAACTACTAAGTACATCATTGACTATATATATGACTATAGACGGTTTAGGGCAGGTGTAAGTCAACAATGAGTCAGAGATAAGAAATGAGTCAAAGATAAGAGATGAGTCATCTAATGACAGCAGTGGCAATCATGATGTAATACAAAGGTGAAAAATAGGTCTAGTGGTGGCATCATACGGCTCATGACGTAATACAATGATAGTAATGAGGAAAAATGAATAGGGGCATATGTGACTGTAACATTACCCCTCATTTAGGAATGAAGTCACCAACTTCAGTTATCCTGGTTAGCCCAATAGATTGGGTCAGTGTCGTAATTGGAGTCCAGCAAGCCATTTTGCTCCTCTGTAATGGTAAACAATTTATCAGCCATCTCAGCAGCTGTCATATCCCACAATCTGGACCCACGTTCCATCATATTCCCACGCCTTCCAAGCCTACATCCAGACCCCACTTCATATCCAGCTCATTCCCAGATCCCCTTGTGCTGTGCTCCACACCTCAGCAGGATCGACTACACTCCAGATTTACCCCTGAGCTCTGGACCATCGGATCTCCACTGCTAGCCTGATCCATACCCCCCTGTCCCATCCACCCTATGCACACTCCATCCAGCAAGACATCCAGACTTCACCTTGTCTCGGATTCTGGACTATATCCACCTTCTCATATTCCAGTCCTGTATCCACCTTGTCTTCCGGATCCCCAGATCTCCGGACCTCCAGATATTAATGCTGGACCTATTCCCACCCTCTGTCTGATATCCTGCACCTATCCCCATTTAGGCATCTCCGCCTTTCTGGCTTTCAGGTTACCTCTTCTTCTGTCTTGCTTATTGATCCTTGTACAAGTCTTCATCTCCGAGTTCATTTAGTTATGTTCCATCTTACTTACTAATGTGTTTCCACATGCTTGTACATAGCCTTGCTCCTTTGCTTACTGATCCCCTCAGATATTCTCCAGTATATAACCCCTGTAGATACTCCTGTAGTTTCCTTAGTTTGAATATCAACTTAGACTTGCCCAATCCTCTCTTAGACTTTGGTCCATAAGTCTGTCCTACCCATCAGGCCTAGGGATTGATTCCCTAGGCCAGAGCTCCGCCTTTCCAGCACTTACCCTCTTTCTGGACTTAGGTCCAATCCCTGTCTCTCCAACTCTACCTTAGGGTAGTCTACCTCTGTTTGGTTCTACATTGGACGGCGTCTGATGTAGCCCCTATTCCTTCTGGACCTCCGGACCTCCTGTCCCTCGTACCTCCAGGCATCCTGTCCTTCGGATGTTCCACCCTCTGTACCTTCGGATGTTCCACCCTCTGTACCTTCGGATGTTCCACCCTCTGTACCTTCGGATGTTCCACCCTCTGTACCTTCGGATGTTCCACCCTCTGTACCTTCGGATGTTCCACCCTCTGTACCTTCGGATGTTCCACCTCTGTACCTTCGGATGTTCTGTCCTCCTAACCCTTGGACATCCTATCCTCCTGTCCTTCATACCTCCGGACATCCTGTCCTTCTGTCCTCCTGTCCTCCTGTCCTCCTGTCCTCCGGACCTTCAGACCTCCTATCCTCCCATTCTGTTTCCTGTAGAAGTATTACCTTGCAGTGGGAACCCTCCTGAACACTTCCTGCATTCCTCTGGAACTCTCCCACGCTCCTCCGGACGTTTCCCACGCTCCTCCAGAAGTCCTCTAGCACTCCACCAGAGTAGCCAGCCTCCAGAAGTCCTCTGGACTTTGTTGGACCATCATTGGACCTCATATGAAATGAAGGGCACATACTCAGGTAAGGGGTACAGTGTATGAGCTGAGGCCAAGCCCCTCTGAGTCAGTCTCTCTCCTTTGAGCAACATGGTTCTTAACAGCAGCATGATAAATAGCATCCTGCTTGATCTCCCAACAAGCAAGGGCTTTGTAGAAACCAGTGTCAGTCCAAACCAGTGGAATGACTACTTCTCCTTTCAGGTCTTTACAAAAGACCTGATAAGTGTCCAGGTGCATACTCCTTGCAAACCCAGCAGTAATACACTGGGCAGTTTTTGTGACAATGCCCAGCGATGCGACAGTTGCGACATACTATGTTGTCGACAGTTGCTGTTTTCACAGTGGTGACAGTAGATGACTGTGCAGGTGGAGATGGGGATCTGGATCATCATTTATGGTTTCTGTGTGGGGAGGCCAATGCTGTTCATTTGGTAATGCAGGCAGTGAAGGTTCAACAGCTCTGCTAGGCTGCAGAGCTAAAGAAAGAAAGAGGGACTCTCACTCTGGTGGTGAGAGGAAGGCTACTGACTCTCTAGATGTTGGTTGAAGTGCGCCAGGCAATATGTTCGACCCTTAAGGGAAGCAAAGAAAGCAAGTATCCATGAGGTGACACCAGGTCAACTCTGGTGAAGCGCGCTGAAAGCACATGCACGGGAATGTCAAGCGCGTAGGTGCGCGAAGCGTGGGAATAGGGTGCACACAGTGTGCGAACATGTAAGAGATGATGATTGGCTGCTGCTGAAGACTAGGGCGACAACTATAGCATGCTGGCTGAAGATGATAGATTCTGACTACTAGACGCTACTAGACATGGTGGTGGTTGTTGTATTCTGTGGTGGTGGTTGTTGTATCTCCCTCCTGGTGGTAGGTGTATGAAAACTCTTTCCCTGCCACAGGTAAGCTGTGCCTAGGCGCGCTCCCAGGGCTCGGAAGCGAATAGGGAGCGCTCTAAGTATGTAAGTAAGGGTCCATGACAAAATAATGTCATACTAATACTAAATATGGTCTGATAATGAGAATAAACAAGAAAGGACTCACTAGGGAACTGGTTGGACGATGGATAGATGCTCTGGGATGCTGTGTGACAAAGTGCGACCAAGTGCGGGAAGAGCGCATGTGCAGGAATGTGTCAGCATAGTGTGGGAAAGCATTGCACCTCTGGCGCGTTTCACAGGAAAGTCGTAGATAGTGAGTTGCACACTATACCAATCATTGTGAGTCATAATATGGGCGATATATGCCTGGAGGAATCTCATTCCCTACAGCGGATCTGCGCCTAGTAGGGTACCAATGTGTAGTGGGTGTGATGGGGGTAGGAGCAGGAGAAGCTGGTATGTCAAGTACAGTAATAGGAGGGATATTATCATCTGAATGCTCAGCGGTAGCTGTTGGAAGAACTGGCGGTGGGATTGGAATGGCAATGTGTGGGGAAAGGGGTCTTGTGACTGGGTTGGTAGCGATTCATTCAGTGACAATGTGGATAGCCTCTCTGATAGCCTCCTTAGTAGTAGAAGGCAGCAGGCAGATTGCAGTATTACAAATACGTATATGAAGGTGGCAGAAGATGGTCTTGTGACATTCGTCATCAAGAAGGTTGGTGGTGCGCTCAATGAGGCTAGCATCTCTGATGATTCTGACAAGGAGTCTGCTGGGAATTGCTCTGTTCTCTCCTAGGATATGGTCTATTTTGATTGTGTACTGTGGGGAAGTGATGGTGGATTCAAACAGGGTATTGTTCTTGATTTTGTTGAGAATGGTAAAGTAGTCAGAGAGGCTGGAGTTGTTGGAAAGGGTGGTATCAGATAATGGTGGGGAAGCAGTGGGAGTAGCAGTATTTTCAGCGGTAGGCAAGGTTGGTGATGGTAGCAGTCTGGTAGTTGGCAAGGGATAGTGGATGGGTGACATTTTTGGATACAGTGTTCATAGCAGTGGTCAGTTCTTCAATTCTTTGTATACAGAGGCATAAGCATTCAAGAGACATTGTTTCTGGATCACAAACAATGAGTCTTTTTATATGCAGAGAGGACGTCAGCGGCATTGCTAAGGTTCTCTTCTGGGATCCATTCATTACTGGCAGAGGAGTATCCTTTCTAGGATACTAGATAGCATCTTTGTTTTCCCGTGCCTTTGTGCAATAAGATCACATCTATCTCATATTCTTCTTCGTTATCAATGACATCTGGGGGGGGATCATGGAAGTTCAGGCTGTGGATTTCTGTTTCATGACAGGAGGATAGTTCAGAAGCATGGAACATGAGGTGAACTTTCCATTGAGTCGGTAGTTGGAGTGTGAACATGATGGGAGAGAGGATGGCAATGATAGGGAAGGGGCCATATCATTTTGGTGTGAGTTTCTGTGATGGTAGCTGTGTGATCAAGTTCTTCCCTGATAACCAAACCTTATCTCCTATCTTCCATGGATGGTATTTCTGTCCGTGAGTTTGTTCTGCCATTCATTGCATAGTGAGGTTATGATAGGATAGTGCTTCTTCCCTAGATTTCTGAAGCGAGCAAAGTCTATCTTCTGTGGCAGGGACAGTAGAGTTGGGAAGTATGTGAGGGAGGGCCCTTGGTTCATATCCCATCATCAAGAAGAATGGTGAGGCATTACAGGAGTCGTGTTTTCAATGGTTGTGAACAAATTCTGCCATGGGGAGATGTTCTACCCAATCTTCGGGGTGATTGCGACAGTAGATACAGAGGTAGGTTTCAAGTTCTTGGTTAAGGTGTTCAGTCTGACC